TGACTGTGTGGTATGCAGACTACATTGGATTTTGATGCCATGAGGATCCTTTATTCTAAGATTATGTCCTTTCCACTTTCAGGTTTAATGTTTGTTTTAAGTCGAAATGATGATAATAATAGGAAGTCCCTTAATTGGCAAATAAAAGTAGGCCACCTTTAGTGGTCCTCTGATTTTGGCTTTAATGTTATTGATCCCTGGAGTCCATGCCCAGAAGCAAATGCCCAGGTGACACATAAATCCGGGCTTCAAACTTTCATTTGTCCCAACAATATTCAGTGATGGCTGCTGAGCGTGCGATGGACAGGAATCCTTCCTATGACTCAAAGAGCTTGTGGACTTTGGGTCACATGTTAGCGTGGTACCATGGCGGCTGCGACACCATCGACTGAGGATGACTGGCTGTGAAAGACAGAGAGGTGGAGGGAGCATGGGGGTCAGAGACCACCACAGGGCCACTGACTCTTCCAATACTTGCAGAAATGGCTTAACGCATTATCAAATATCAGAGCCCCTGGGGGAACAGCAACACACACCTCACTGTAAAATACGTACGTACGCCAGAAAGTAAAAGGACTAAATAGAACTGAGGTTAGAACAGGGATAGAAGTAAAATATCCCAGACAGCAAGATTTATAACAGTATATGGCAGAAAGTAGACACGGACTTCAAAAAGACATTTATTAAGCAATCGTTTGGTTAGGGACACACGTAGGAAAGACAACCAATGCCGGATTTCCTAGGATGGGTACATGACAGGCATAGTGAACTCCTTAACATCACAAAGACCTTAAGAAAAAGAATTACAAATCAAAATGTTGTTAGTCATATTCATGACACATGGTAACAACACAAGTTGACTGAGCAGTAAGTTCTGTACAGACTTAAAATGCAGGGGGTCAGGGAAGCAGGAGACTCTGCTGTTTGGATAGACTTACACGAGCCAATGCTCTCTAGCACACTAAACCTATAGTGCTACAAGGGAAAAATATAAATAGCTTTGTGGTTTGAGTTGGAGAAATGCTTGGATTTAACATGTTAAAATCGCAAAAAATCTTTCAAATGATTCTTCCCAAATATTGTCTCTGGGCCTGGAGGGGTGTGGGGAGAGAGAAGTTCCTCTGGAAGGGACATCTGTAAAGATTTTGAGGAATTTACGTGAGGCATTCGTTTTGGGGGCTTCCATGGTTTGCCAGTTATGAGTAGCTGTTGGTCCCTTGAGCAAGGATACACTGTGTCACAGTATAAAATGTTTACTGGAATTCCAGCAGACATCCATGAACTTGGGAGGGACATGACACCTTGTTTTTTTTAACCAAAATAGTTAACCTCCAACCCTGTGCAAGAATTTGCATTCAAAAGAAAAAACACAAAACAAACCTCATCCAAACTCTCTCCCTCACTTGGGTAAAACTTAGAATATTGCCATGAATTACTGTGACTGAGTTATTTAATGGGAATAAATAAAAGGCATGTGCTTAAAGCAGTTAGTGTTTGCCACGAGCACATGACTTTTGACTTGCAGTTCATTCTCTAGATAAAAAATATTCATGTTATCAATTCCCTGAATTAATACCTGTCACTAGTCACCTAGTTAATTACAACTGTATATATCCTGGCTAATGTTGCAACTTAAACTATAAAGAAATTGCAGGAGGATCACTAGATCGTGAGTCATGAGTGACATTATCTCTACCTTGTGATGGCATTACTTATACCGGGTGCAATATTTCTGGTGGGAGAAAGCTCTATTCTGTCCAACAGACACTGTGAGAAGAAATTTTGTCACAGGGAATATGTATGTCACATTTCGAAGATGTGCACGCTGGTTTTTAAGACAAGAAAGTGTTTTCACTAGTCTCATAAAAAAGACACCAGTCTTCCAGAAGTCTGAATTTAACATTTTTAAACGTTAAATTCAAATATGTGAATAAATGAAACAATGCTAAAATTGTCAATGCTGAGCTAATAATTTTAAATTGTTTGTAATGATTTCTAGTTCTTAAGAAAAGCATAAAAGAGAACAAGCTGGAATTTCAAGTCAAATTTCATCTCAACAACTTTCACTGCAATACAAATGTTAACTTTAAAGAGATGGTTTTCTAGACCTGGCCAGTGTGGCTTAGTGAACTGAGCACCTGCCTGGGAACCAAAGGGTCACTGGTTTGATTCCCAGTCAGGGCACATGCCTGGGTTGCAGGCCAGTTCCCAGCAGGGGACGCGCGAGAGGCAACCATACATTGATATTTCCCTCCTTCTCCCCTTCCCCTCTAAAGATAAATAAATAAAATCTTTAAAAAAAAGAAAGAAAGAAAAGAAAAGAAATGATTTCCAGCCCTGGCCAGACACTAGACATGTTTCTAAATCTCACTGCCACAAAAATGCCAATTTTAAATAATTCATGGCAATGAACATTTTTTAAAGCAATTATTAAAAAGTTCTTCATCATGTAGCACAGTGTCAGGTGCGGTGGCAGAAGCCTCACTGCTGGATAACCAGGAAAATGGAAACATTAAGAACAAAACCGAGTCCTTTGCTTTCCTTACTTGAATGAAGAGTGCTGTGAGTGTCATTACCACGAGCAGACGTATTAGCTGTATCTGTACGAATCAGACTGCTTTGTGTAGGAACAGCCCATTCGAGCTTTATTTTGAGCCAAATACATAATAAAGTGTATGAACAACCCCTTGAAATATCGGAGAACTGTTCAATCCAGTGTCAACTGGAGTGGGCTACTTCAAAACTTAATATATTTATTAGTTTTCTCCTATAGCACAATACACAAATGAATAGCTCACTATGGATAAACTTCTTGATTTTTTTAATCTCTAGAGCTTAGAACATACCAGGCACATACTAAATGTTTGTGGAATAATGGACTTCTAGAAAAAATTTTCCTCAGTGTAAATTCCTTCTTTCCCTGAGTCTTAAAACAATTTACAAAGTATGATGATACAAAGGAGTTACAAACAATAGAAATGCCATGATATAAAAAGTAAATTAAAAATCCCTTTCTCGAGACACATCTGGGTCCCAGATGAACATCACCAGTCAGGGACAACAGTGGCCCTTGCTTGGTAAACTGTTCCCCGTGAGCCCACAAGACAGGGGAGACCATTAAACACGTAGGTAACTAATCAAAAGTTACAGTTTTTTCCTCCAAGGCAATTAACTGTGTGATAGAAGTCAAGCCTTTTATGTTTGTTTTCTCTCATGTAGAATGTATTTATAGACAAAAACTTTAAGGTTTCAGGAGGCTGAATTACCTCTTTGAAATTTACTGGACTCTATTTAGGAGAGTAATGCTGAATTATGTAATTAGTATCTTGTGCGCTTAAATAAATCAGTGTACTTAAATTGTTTTTTTGTTGTCCTCACCTGAGGACATTTTTTCCATTGCTTTGAGAGAGAGAATGAGAGAAAGGAGAGAGAGAAATATCGATGTGAGGGAGAAGCATCGACTGGTTGCCTCCCAGATGCACAGGGACTGGAAATCATTCCCACCCGGACTGGGGATTGAAGCTGCAACCTAAGCACCTGCCTTGACCCAGAACTGAACCGAAACCTTTCAGTTACGTGACACTCCAACCAACTGGGCCACACCTGCCAGGGCATAAATAAATCAGTGCATTTAAAAATATACTGATGTACTCCCAAGAATTAACAGAATAATTCATTTACTTAAGTTCCACATTTAGACTAAATTGAGCATTTTAGTGTCAGGATAGATTTTGGAAATATTTCTCCAAAAAATAGCATTCTATTCATGATTATGTTTTCATGTTTCTAAAATAAAGTAAATCAATAATTTTGGCATAATATCTTTATTTTTTGGTGGGGGAAAATCAATTGTGGCTGTAATTTCTCTAAATGGTTCAATCATTTTCATAGTTGAACCAATAATTTTATGTAGGAAATACTTATGACTTAGCATTGCACAGGACTATGAAAATACCATTTTTGGAATAATATATTTAGTATACAGAGTTGACTATACAAGAAACTTTAGATTTATAACCAAAATATACAGCATTTAGTTGAAGGTATGTAATAATTCATCATTATGATTAAGAAGAGACTAGAAATCCAAGTAAACATCTATCAGATAAGCAGTGGGATGTGAAAAGCAAAACTAATTTGGAATCAAAACATGGCATAGGCATTTCAAAATGAATAGCTATCAGATTAAAGAATATCACTAAACAGTAGCATTAAGAGATTCTGAATCTTTCACCATGTGAAAAATTTCTATGTTCATTAAGTTCCTATAAGCTTTCCACAGTAAAAGTTATAAAGTATTGCTTCATTCACAGATCAAAGCCTTATTGCTGGCTTAAGTATTTTTGTTAAGCCAAATAAGGTAGTTTATGATTTTCTATAATTTTTATTAAGTTTCATTTCCTGATTACTATCACATATAAGTCAACCTAATTTAAAAGCACATCTTCAATTTCATATTTATTTCCTTCTAAGCGGGAATTGGGCATTTAGGTATGAATTTGGGGAGTCATCATGTCAAAACTCTGTGACACTTATTTTGTAATTAAAATATTTCAGGAAATGAGCATTAATTTTTAAACATTTTATAGCATTAACAATAATTTTACATATACTATAGAGCTGAACTATGCAATATAGTAACCAACTAGCCACATTTGGCCCTTGAATACTTGAAGAACTGAATTTTTAATTTTAATTAATTTTATATTAAAAATTATAATAGTTTTTGGAAATTATAATAGTTTAGGTTATTAGAAAGCTTATATATTGGAAAAATTATAATAGTTTAGGTTATTGGGAAACTTTTAAATGTGTTTGAACAACTTAGGTTTATGAATTTACTTTTTTACCTGCAAATTTTATGAAATCTAATACAGCAAGTATTACTGATAAAACTTTACTGTCCAAATTAAGGTGCACTGTAAATGTAAAAAAAAAACAGATTTCCAAAACTTTGTATTAAAAAATGTAAAATTATCATTAATAATTTTTATGTTGATGTTTTAGTACCTTGCATTATATATTTCTTGTGGACGGCGCTGACCTAGACTATATATGAAAATCGCTATTTTTAAAGTCATTTTAAATTTTTTATTTTAATGTCATTCTTCCCATCACATTTTTACTATTATGAAGAAGTAAATTAGATTACGTATGTATCCAGTCAGAAGTGCACTAACTGCCTTCTCTGCACCTTCTCCTTTCTCCAAATCACTAAGCACCACCAGCAGAATGCGGGATCGCAGGAGGCGGATGTGCGGACACAGTGTGTGAGAGCACTGATGAGTGAGGCAATCAAATTCAACTTCTCACACACCACACGTTCTATCTTTTTCTACCCTCCACTGTTTCCAGACCTATCTGTCTCAATTCCACAATTAACCTTCAACTTCCTCTCAAGTTCTGCTGTGCCATGGCTTCCAGGGTAGAATAATAAGCAATGACTTTGCTCAGCGAGGTGCTTGTCTTGTGTTAATACTAGATTCTGTCCAGGCCCGGGAGCTTTCATCCTTCAGGGTGGAGAGCTTCCTCTGGGAGAAGGGCTCGAATCCCAGGAGTTTGAACGCCGCCACTCGGTACTTCTTGGACATGATGTTGTACAGGATGGGGTTGATGGCGGCGCTGAGGTAGAAGAGGACAAAGGACACCAGGTTGCAGTACTGGCTGATCTGAGCAATCTCCAGGGAGCCAGGCTCGAAAGACTTGGAAAACAGGTATCGCCCTACGTGGAAGGGCAGCCAGCAGAGGATGAAAGCAAACACCACGACAGCTAAAAGAAAAACGGGAAAGTGAGCATCAGTTCAAGAAATGTCCTAGAACATCACGTTTCATCTGGAAGGCACAGTTCCAATTTGACTCTATATGGCGTGACCACTGACTTCAGAGAAACATTATGTTCTGCCCTTTCTCGTTCCTACATTTTCACCGAGATCGAGTCTGTCTGGAGCAACAGTTCAACCATTTTCACTGAGCTTCCCAGTCATTCCTATTATCAACTTTTTGAGTGATTTTGTGATTGGTTTGACATATTGCTTCCACTGGTTAGACTAGTTGCTCACAATAGTTCACCACTTTACATGCGTGAGACACAACCAACACACGGAGGGGGAGCGGCCACACTCAGCGGCTGCCGTGGATCAGAGCTCCCTGGGGCACGGAGTCCTCGGATGTGGCTCAGACTCATTAAACTAAAATCTCCAGTTAGGAGACCAGGACACCTGTTTTTTCTTTTTTTTTTTTCTTTGTTAAGTTTCACAGAGGACTGAATGTGCAGCCAGGACTGAGAACCACTGAGCTGAACCCTGCAGTAGACATCAGTAGGGTATAAAAGCCTGTAAAATTAACCGATTATCATTCATTAATTATCATCCATCCAAGTCTTCACGTTGCCCATTTTTGCAAGACCTCTGCATTTATAGATTGTTTTCAGAATTCAGACATCAGAGGAAAAAGAACAGAAATATCTCAGTCCTTTTACTACTTTAGTGATTCCCTTCAAATGGTCAAGGCAAAAGAAAATTGACATTGGTGTTGAGACACCAGTGAGGATTATTATTGGCTTAATAGAAAATTGAAGGAAATTATTAAACTTATGCTCAAAATCAAGTTAGTGGCACCTGTCACAGTAGTCACGTGAGGATCAGAGTTTTTGGAGGGCCCTAGCAGGTTTGCAATCTATTAGCCATATTGTGAGAACAATTGGTCTAGAAAATGATAATTTGGGGCATTCTTTGAATAAATGATCACATTAATATACAGGAGTCCAAGAACTGTAAAATTACAAATACAAGGGTGAGCAAAAGTATGTTTACAGTTGTGAGTACATGAAACAGTTAATTTTTGTATTATTATTTATTAATTTTTGTATTATTTGCACTATAATTGTAAGCCTAATTTGCCCACTCTGTAAGTAAAAAATACGGGTGAAGCAAAAGTAGGCTTACGGTTTGTATGGACGATAGTACAATAATTAACAAACAATCATACAAGAATAAACTGGTGTACTCACAACTGTAAACCTGCTTTTGCCCCGCTCTCCATTGACTATAAGGTCCAAGTAACTAAGCGTATAGACTCTAGTTCTGAAAAAGCAAGTAGAATTAATATTTGTTTGGGTGTGAAGACAGTCTGTATTACTTCACTGGTACCAAACGCATACACTTAAAGAAGTGGAATTCATACAGTATATGCCCAGCAGACTCCAGCCATGACACCGCACCCAAATGTCCCCTGAAGGACCATTTGTGGGGGGACAGCAAGTCCTGTCTGCTTTCACATGGTCTCTTTCTCCTGTGGGAAACCTGCCGGTCCTCGCCTATCCTAGAGGATGGGCTTTTCTACCTGGAAAGACAGGTAATCATGAAAGGAAATGGGGACTCCAGAACTGATTTGTCCCTGACTTCCTCACAAAGCTGAGCAAGGCAATGCTGTTTGTGATTTCCTCACAAACATCAGCAGGGTAAACAGAATTGATTTGATTATTTGACTCAAAAAAATGCAGGGCACAAAGCAAATCAGAATACTGAAAGAAAAATGAATCATCTCTGACAGAATTAGCCAGATTGATTGTATCTTTGGTTAAATGTACCACTGAATACTTCCTTGATTTTAATGCCTGCTTTTCTTAGTGTAACCTAGATATCCACAAATTTTCTCAGAGGCACAAAGTTTAACCCCACCTTTAACATTTAAAGATCACAAAGGATTTTTTATACAATACCTCAGTTTTGAAGCAAAGTTTCTGGGCTGATATAAAAAACTCACTTTCGGGAAATACATGAGTGGGGCGTTTGTCCATGAAAGAGAGAAAGGAAAGCCAGGAAGAAAGAGACACGGAGAGGTCCAGACCTGAAGAGTCCAGACAGTGCCAAGTTGGGAGGGGGCAGAAAAGAGGCAGGAAGGGAGGGAGGGAAGGAAGGAAAAGTGGAACAGACATAAAAACAGGAGCAAAGAGGGTTTGGGGATTTGTTTGTTTGTTTGTTTAATTCTAGAGAGAGACGGGACGCACACACCCCACAGAAAATCTAGGAGAACGGAGAAGGAGCTGAAGACAGAAACGGGAGGGAAAGAGGAATCGAAGACACACAGAGACAGAGACGGAGGGGAGCGGGAGGGAGCGCAGAGACTCGGGGAGAAGGCGCGTGGGGAGAGGAGGGCGCGCGGGAGGGACGGCCGGGGGCGCGCGGAGACCCACCCAGCATCTTCACGGTCTGCCTGTGGTTCTGGTCCCTGAGCGAGGCGGCCACCGCGGCCTCGCCGCGCCCCCTGCGCCACAGCTTCCTGCCGATGAGGCTGTAGAGCACGGTGAGGCAGAAGACCGGCAGGAAGAAGAAGACGCTGGACACCCACACCATGACGGTGAGCAGCCCGGAGCTCACGGCGAACTCGGTGGCGCGGCACTCGTTGGTGTCCCGAGGGTCGGTGCCGTTCTCGTGCTCCACGCCCACCAGCACGAAGATGGGCCCGGCGCTGCAGAAGGCCACGGCCCAGATGACCAGGATGACCAGCTTCACCCGGCCTTTGGTGACCACCACCTTGGCCCGCAGCGGGAAGCAGATGGCGAAGTAGCGCTCGACGCTCAGCGCGGTGATGGTGAGCACGGTGGCGTAGGTGCAGCTCTCGCTGACGAACTGGAAGAGTTTGCAGAGCAGGTCCCCGAAGTTCCAGGGCCGGTACTGCCAGAGGCGGACGAGGTCCAGGGGCATGCAGAGGAAGATGAGTAGGTCGGAGAAGGCCATGCTGGACAGGTAGAGGTTGGTGGTGGTGCGCAGCTCGCGGAAGCGCGACACCACCAGCATGGTGAGCAGGTTGCCCGCGACGCCCACCACGAAGAGCGCCACACAGGTGGCGGTGACGCCCGCCAACAGCGGCGCAGGGAAGAGCAGCAGTTCATCCGCCAGCGAGCCGTTGTCCGGGGGAGCGTCCCAGCCCAGGTCCGGCAACGTGAAGTTGGGCCCCGGCTCCTCCATCGGCGTCGTGTTCACGAGCCGCCGGCTCCACTTAACTGGTTCTGGGAGGCGAGAAGCTGCACCGCACTGGTCCCCGAGAAGGTCGCCTTAGGCTCCAGAGAGTGCGAGCGAGGAGCGGGCGCGCAGGAAAGCTTGGTGAGGAAAAAGAGGGGAGTGAGAAGCAGAAGCGGAGGTAGAAGGTGACATTGGGAGCCAAGGGCGGGGAGCCACGGGGAGAGGGAGGCTTGGACACACTCAGGCGCGCGCGCGCACACACACACACGCACGCACACAAGTGGTGAGAACAGAGCGTGACCCACCGCTCTTTCTGGAGCTTCCCCTTTCCTCCATCCTCTCCCCCAGGGTCTCTCTCCGACCCAGCACCTGGCCGGCCTTCACACACGTACCTGTCACCGAGGCAGCCCGGCCAGCCCTGCCTTGCCTTTGCGTTCCTGCTCCAGCTGCATCTCGCACTCGCCCAAGCGTCCCGTGGCGCGGGGACCTCGGAGACCGTGCACGGCGAAACGGAAGCGCAAAGAGCTCTCTCCACGACTTTGCCCGCTGCCTGGCTAGTGTGGCTCAAAAGGGCTGGTCACACCCGAGGGGGCGGGGGCGGGGACGGTGGGGGCAGAACGCCTCCAGCAGCCGAGACCTGCGTTCTCCCTCAACAAGCGGTAGAGTTGGCTATGGACCTGGCGAGAGGAAAAAGCAAGCCTGCCCAAACCGAGCCTGGAAAATGGGGGGTAGGCAGTTAAAAAAAAAAAAAAAAAAGAGGGACCTAGTGTTGGCGATCCAGCCGGAGAGGGAACCGGTGCACACCTAAGAGCCTCACGCAGTTCTAGAAGCTACTGTCGTGTTAGGGGCGAAACAAGTTCAGAGATGAGTTGCCACTTGTTGAAGGTCACATAGCGAGTTAGGGACTCTGGGATCTCCCACCCGGTTTGGATCGTTGAGCGAGAAGGTGCAAGCTGCGTGCCTGCCTAGCTGTTCTGAATTCCAGCCCTTGCAACAGTCAGTCCCCCAACTCTGAGGCCGGTAGGAGAAAGGTTATGTAGGTTATTTTTGCCTGACGCAAACCTCGGAGGAGGAAGAGGGGCAAAAGGGAAGGAGCGTGGTGGGAGAAGGGTGGAGCCGGCAAAGGAGGAGGAACAGGGGCTGTAAGGCTGACGTGTCGAGGGTACACAGTAAACACTTTTCCAGGCATGACTGAGGGAGATGAGCCATTGGGTAGCTGTGTTCGCTTGGGCAAAATTATCAACCTTTTTACGTTTTGAGGATGGTGTGAGGATAAATATAGGCTGAGTCGCTGTCATTGGGGCTGCTGTTGAGGGGCAGGAGCTGCACCCGGTGGGAACTGGTCGGAAGTCCCCCTACCCTCTCCAGGTGACTCCCCTGGCTGCAGCCTGTGCGACCCCTGCTGGGAACCAGGAGTCAACAGTTGAAGACCTGAGACTGGCGGCTGCAGGCGAACTTCACCAACCTGCCGGGCTTCTCTCTGCCGGTCAACCTGAGAGCAGACGCGGAGCGTGTTCAGCACCGCGGCCAGCAACCGGTTACCTGGCCGCGCGGCTCCGCGACCCGCCTTTCAGCCTTTCCACCTGCGTGCGCTGCGGCACCTGCGCTGGGCTAGCACTGCCCCGCGTCCAGCGGCTGAGCCGACCTCTCCTACCCGCACTCACCTGGCCCCGGCCTAAATGGGAATCCAATCACTCCGTTTGACTGAGGGCTTTCTCGAAACATCTTAGTGCAGTTGCACATGCCTTGACAGATGTTTACATCACCAATACCACCTAAACTGTTAATGCTTAAAACCCCACAAAAACCCGAGGCCGGACGCATGCGCACGTGCTCGGGAGATTCCCCGCTCGGTGAGAGCCTGCGGGAGGGAGGCCGGACACCGGCAAGCCCTGGAGAGCGTGCTGCATAAACTGCCCTGCTGTGTTACAGATGTCGGACCAAATTGACTTCACGATGAAATTTATTTCAAATTACTATTTAAGAAAAGCTCACAAGAAAGTCAAGCCACCAATGACTAACAAGTTTAAAACAATACTTTGATTTAAACCCTTCCCACCCTTCATTAGCAGTAGATTTCTGTGTGCAGACGGATCTTTAGGAGGGATACAGACTGGGGTAAATTAAAATACGTTAGGAAGCTATTATCTGAGAATAAGAATCCAGAAAAGATGGTGGGGTGTACTTCTGTTCTTCTCAGAGCCGAAACCATGGCCGATAGATAATAAGGGAGAAAATCTTTTTAAAAATCTGTTGTGATAAAAATATGGCATGTTATCTGAAATACCCAGCTATTCCACTGCACTAAATAATTGTCTAAAATATAGGCAAATCTGTATTGTGTGATCAAGAAGAAACATGGCATACTATTGACATCGATCTATTCATTCACAATACAATAGTATACAGTATGTGAAACTGTCTAGAAGCATGTGCTAGGTGCTTGGCATAACAAAATAAATAAAATCCAGACAGGCCTTATATTTATTCACTTGGAGTCTAGAGAGAAAAAAATAGAGTTGAACAAGCAATTCTAGTACAGTAAGAGACATGCACAATGGGCTCTGTTGAAATATGGAGAAACAATATCTTTCTGCTCTGTCATATTTTGTGAGCGGCTTCCAATATCAAGGTCATGTCATGGTCCAAGATTACTGCTGTACTGCCAATCAAACAAGTCATTTCTAGCCAAGAAAAAGAAGAAAAGGAGGTAAAAAGGGGTTTCTTAGAAGCTCAACTCAAAACTCTCACTTTTATCACAGTGGCCAACCCTACTTTCAGGGGTGGCTGGGAATATCACTCCCAAGGTTCTCAATTTGGGAAAACAATTTGTGATCTCTGCTGTATTCCCCATCCAACTAAGTAAATTAAGAGCAAAAAAATTTTTTTTCTTGAAGTAACCTATAAAACCTAGTACAGTGTCTTGCAGGTAATATAGCACTTAAAATGAAAGTTTACTGATTTGATTGCATTTATTTTGCATTTAAAATCACATATATAAACATAGGACACGTAAGAAAGCTCATAAGAAAATTTAAGGGTTACATTGTGCCTTTAATAAAAAGTCATTTATTTTAATTTTCCACTTAAACTTTGGACATAGTGTACTAATATGTTTAGCTTCATCATTTATATTCTTTCTATTACCTTGTGTAGCCTCATTTAAATAATATTGTGCACATACTTCAAACTAAGAACTGCACATCACTCTTATCAGATGAACAAGCTGTAAGAGTCGAGACTTGACATCAAGTATATTAACAGAAGAGAAGAAAAATTATATTTGTAGAAAAAAATAATCTTAGCATTCAGGCACCTAAAAATCATTTTCTAGTTAGCTAATGAGATGCATTATCATGAATGATCACTATAAAAATTAAATAATCATATGGTTTAGATAGTCATTTAGAAATCTTTACACTTTTTTGATGATAGAAGTAACATATTTCTTTAAAATGCAACCATTATTTTTCTGATATCACTCTCTTTACAGTTTGTCCCAGATAGTCTAGTGGAACTTTCCATATTTCTCATTGGTACTTACAAAACTATTTTTACATCTGACGTTAAGCATTATTACTTTCAACCTAGTTATTTCAAACTTAAATAATACCAAAATTTATCCATTAAAAGGTATCAGAGTTATATGTAGGTTTATAATTTCAATAGTTACACAAGGCTCATTAAGCCGTCCTCACCCTGGTTCATGTGGTCTCTATTGACATACTGTTATGAAAGAAGAGTATTTAACTCTTTCATACTCTCGGGCCATGGGACACAAACACACACACCTTTTTCACATTCCACATGCACGGTTTTTGGATTAGATCTATCTTCAAGCACTCACATTTTATTTAGATATTACTAAATCCAAATCATATAGTGTGAGAACATTCTCTTTTCTTGAACAACTTTTTGTTTTCCTTTATGTTTGAAACATCTCATTGGATGGTTTGCCTAGTCTCTACGTAGCTACCACTAATCCTGCTCTCAGTATATTCTGTCGTGGAGACACCACTTCTGGAGACTTCCTCCCCCTTCCTGCTCCCACCTGGACTGTTCTTGTCTGGACCTGCTACACGGGCCTGTGTCCTGGTTCTCCATTCTTACCCTGGGCCTTCCTCTTTCTTAGTTTGCTTTGTGTTTGAAAGGAGTGTATTCTCCAGTAACTTTCTGAGCAAAGGTCTGTGAGAGGTAAATTTTTCAGGACCTTCCAATCTAAGCTATTTTCATTCTACCATAACATTGTTTGAGGGTTTATTTATAGAATTCTGGTTTAGATATTATTTACATTCAGAACTTTAAAACAGTTGCATCATGGAATTTCTCAAATGCAATACTATTCTAATTCCTGGTTAGTTGTATATTATTTGTTTATTTTTCCCCTAGAGCTTTTAAGATTCATTAATGTAAATATTATTCTGCAAATATTTTTGAGCACCTATGATGCTCAGTACAAATTTAGGCACCAGGGATGCAGAAGTGAATAAAAAACAAAAAAATTTCTGTCCTTTTGGCACTTATACTCAGCAGTGAAAAATAATATTGAAAATAAGTAAACAAATTATGTGGTAGTAAGTGCTAAGGAGATAAATAAAGCGGGACTGAGGTATGAAAAAATCTGAAAAGAAATGAAATTTTAGATAGGGTAGCCAGGGAAGTGGGCTTCAGAGTAAATCCTTGAAAGATGTGTGGATATGGAGTCTGGGTGGGGAGAGGCGATGGCGTTTCAGGCAGCGGGAAGTACGATAGCTTTGTACTGCCTCAACATGGGTAAGCTAATTTCAAACAGCTCCCATTCATGTTTCTTGGCCAGGGTTGGCCACAAGAGAAATTTGCCCAACGTCGGTAAGGTGGAAGTGAAGCAGCAGACATTTTTATACTCAGAATTTGTTCTAAGGTCAGGTGCTGTTGCAACTCATGCCACGACCACAGATCTGTTGGCTCAACTTCATCGACATGGGGCAACGAACAGGACCACCACTTTTCTGACTCCTGCTGAATGTCCTCATCCAGTTTCTCCAGCTCCTGGGCCAGGTGCATGTTTAGCTCTATAGAAAAAGTGCTAACTCCTGCAGGTCACTTATAGTATTGGAGCTGGAGTGTGGAGCTGGTGAGAGACAGCTCAGGTTCTGGAGAGAGATGAATGGGCTCGAGTTCATCATTGGTTCCCGATTGTCCTCAAGGGTCCTATATTGAGCTTAGTCCATCCCACTATATTTCTGTCTTTTCTTACCCACTTTCTCCCTTGCTGTTTTGAGAACTAGCAACAGAAGCAACAAATCATTGTAAACAGTTTCCTCAGGGACCTCAACTGCATAAGGTAATTCCTAAAACAAGTCCCATATTCTCATGGGCCTACTTCTTCAACTGAACAAGAGTTACCCATACAGCAGAGTGGTGCCTGGGTTTGTTGGAAAGACAGCAGGGAGGCCAGTGTGGCTGCAGTGGAGTGACTGAGTGGGAGAAAGTAGGAGGTGAGTTAAGAGAGATAAAGGGACCAAATTGTGAAGGGCTGTGAAGGTCACGGTCATGGCTTTGCTTTTAGTCTGACTGAGGTAGAAAGTCACTGGAGGATTTGGGGAAGAAGAGTGACACTATCTGACTTCTGCTGTAATATTATCATTTGACTGCTCTTTAGAGAATGGACCGAAGGGAAGCAAGGGAAGAGAAAGGGAGGTCATTTAGGGAGTAATTTTAATAATCTAAGCAAGAGATTATGGTGGCAAAATATATCAGCAACTTGGACCAGAGTGGTGGCATGGAAGTGGTAAGATGTACTTGAGTCTGGATCTCTGGAATACAGAGCCTATAGGCTATATTTTTGTACGAGGTGCACATGTCTTTTGGTTTGTGCAACTGAAAAGTATGGGTTTGCCTTTAACAGACAAAGGCAAGATTAGAAGTGGAACAGTTTTGACAGGAAGATTAAAAGCTTAATTTTAGATATGCCAAATTAGAGAACTTATTAGAAATTTAGGCAGATAAGAAAGGAGTTTGATAGATTGATATGGAGGTCAGGGCTGGAGATACAAATCTGGGAGTGGTGAGCACTAGGCAGCATTTAAAGTCAGGAGGCCAGCTGAGGTAACCAGGGAAGTGAGTGTGGCCAGAAGAGGAAAGAGGCCCAAGATGCCTGTAGGTGTGGAGCCCTCCAGCAATCACAGGTCGTAGTCATGGAAAAAAAAAGAGTAAAAGAAACTCACAAATGGTCGGTGAGGTGGAATCACAACCAGGAGAGTGTGATGTTAGAAAACAAGTGACAAAAATGTATACCAAGGAAGAAGGAGTGAGCAATTGTATTAGGTATTTCCATGGGCCAAGTAAGATGGGAATTGATCATTATATTTAGTAACATACAGTCTATTGTAAATTAATGATCCTGGTGGCATGCTGGGGATGAACCTACTTGGTTCAAGTGAGTATGGGAGAAAATAATTTGTAGAGAGCGAGCACAGACAAATATTTTAAACAGATTTATCATAACAAAAAACGAGACCAATATATGGAGTCCAAAGAGATTCTTTTTAAAGGTGTGAAAATAACAGTAGATTGTGTGCTGTTGGGAATACTACAGCCTAGAGGGGAAGCTTTAAAGTGTGATAGAGGCTGGAGAATGGCTAGAACCGTGTTGCTGAGAGGGGTTGGATCTAGTTCTCAAGCAAAAGGAATGGCCTTAGAGGGAGCTTGGCAAGTTCATCCCCGGGGACAGGAGAGAATGTAGAATGTGTGAGCACAGATGTAGGAGGGTGGGGTGGGGCGGAGGGTCCGGTGTTACTCCGCAGTAGAGAGATCAAGAGTGACAGCTGGGAATGGGGGGGAGGAGATACTGGAGGATGGAGGGGAGAGAGGCTGGAAAGCGAAAGCATGAGGGTAGTATCATCTGATTGCTGGGCAGCAGTAAGAACCCACTTGAGGTTAATGATCATGAATTTGAAATGACACCAGTCAACATGACTGTTTGTTTTCCCATCTTTATTTTCAGCTGCAATGCTACAGAAATGGAGTGGAAGGAAAATTTAATTTAACCAAGGTTATCATTTTGCTCAGAACAGCTGAGAAAGCACAAGAGGGGGAAAGAAGTGGAGGTTCTTTGCAAGGAATTAATTAGAATCATTGATACTTGAGTTTAATCTGAGAGAAGAGAGGACACAATGGAGGTAAGGGACTGAGGAAGAGATGGTCAGACCAAATGGCTCTTCTCTTTGTTTCCAGTGTATCAAAACTCCCCAGGATGTGCATTGGTGAGGGGTCTTCATTCACTGAGTTTCACGATCTTTTGACACTTTAATTCGTATGCTTCCATTCTGGGAAATTTTAAAAATCATTTCTTTGTTGCCTACCTCCCCCTTCACTTTCTCCACTTTCTTCTTTGAACTGCTGTAATTAGTATATTGGACCTCCCAACACAGCCTTTGTTGCTTTTTTTTCTTTCTGGTTTCCATTCTTATTTTATGAATGAAATCTTAGCTATAAATATTTGTTGTGATTTTTTTGAAATTTCTGTTTGCTGCTTACACTGTGTCTGTTTTTTTTCTAAGTGCTTTTGCAATATAATAAAACCCAATGCACCCATCCTCCAGCTTTGACTGTTATCAGTATTTTTCCAATTTTATTTCACCTGTTCTATCAGCTTTTACATGCAATGTATTTTAATACATCATTTTAGATTTCAATTTCAATTACAATATTTTGACATACACGTTCTCTAACTTTTGAGAGTTCATTTGGCACTTCCCTCCCATTGACCCCTTACTTTCTCTTGCTTTTGAATAGCATGTTTTATCATTTTAGCTTTGGAGATTAGGCACCTTTGGGGTTGTGTGGCCTAACATGCTGATATCAGCTATGCTTCATTATTTTAATAACTCACATCAATATCTTAAGTTCTCTGGCCCTTTATCTTTTCTTCTCATCTACCTGGTAAAATGCCAATGCTGAATGAACTCAGAAATCCCCTCCCCTTTGCTTATGTCCACGCAGCCCAGGGATGTTGGAGAACCCCAAGAGTCAAGAACCCCAAACAACTGAGTCATGTAGTCTGGGCAAATATAACCACTCTTAAGTGTCCAGTGCAGTGGCATTAAGTACATTCTCACTATTGTGCGAACATCACAGCCATTGTCTCCAGAACTTCTTTCATCTTTCTAAACAAAGACTCTGCATACATTAAATAATAACTTCCCACCCCCTCCAGCTCCTGGCAGCCACTATCTATGTTCTGTCTGTATGAATGTGACTGCCTTAGGTAACTCATATGAATGTAACAATTCGTGCAGATTTGTTCTGTTATGACTAGGTTATTTCACTTAGCATGATAACCTCAAGGTTCATCTGTATTTAAGCACGTGCCAGAATTCCCTTCCTTTTTAAGGCTATATAATATTCCTCTGTATGTGTACACTACCTTTTGTTCACCATCACTGGACACTTGAGTTACTTCCACATTTTTGACTTTTGTGAATAATACTGCCATGAACATCAGCATACAAATGTCTGTTGGAGTCCCTGCTTTCAATTCTTCCGGTATATACCACAAGTGGGACAGCTGGATCACACCGTAATTCTATTTTTAATTTTTGGAGGAATTGCCACATGGTTTTCTATAGAAGCTGCACTATTTCACCTTCCCACCAGAGTGCTCCAGGTTTTCAATTTCTCCACCTCTTTGTCAATGTTTACTCTCTTTTTTTGGTTGTTTGTTTTTCTGTGTTCTGCTAGTCATCCTAATAGATATGAAGTGGTATATCCTTGCAGTTTTGATTTGCACTTCCCTAGAAGATAATGTGCTCACCATCTTTGCATGTGCTTAGTGACTATTTGTATACCTTCTTTGGAGAAATATCTATTCAAGTTCTTTTCCCATTTTTAAATCAGGTTTGCTGTTGCTGTTGTCCCTTTGACTTTTGAGGTTGTGTTTCTTCTTGCCAACTCATCTTTTAATGATTCTGAAAGCATTAGAAAAGACCTGGAAAAAATAAAGTTAGCAAAAAGTAGTATTTCCTTTTAATAGATACGATCATTACATTGATTCTGCATAAGCAAAGGAAATTTCAAAGCTTCAACAGATGGTGCACAGCAATTGTGCTTTACTGACAGAGTTACAAAAATTCCATCAAATTAAAAAGTTCAGTTAGCAGATGCCTTTCAACATTTGTTGTCTTCTCTGAAGCTAATCTCCATAGCAAAGACATTTTTTGTTTTGGTTTGGTTTCTGGTGTTTATCACTTATAGTGTTTTGGATCATTACAATTTCAGATTTTCTATGAAATATTATACTGAGTTTTTGGTAGTAGTTTATTTTATGAGAGTTGAGGGATAGAAGAATGGAAGAATAGAATACTTTTATCTCTTGCAAAAAGGCACAATGGAGGGTGGGTAATTAGTAAACTAGAAAAAATTTATAAATGACATATGAGTGTATTAATTTTTCTGTGAAAATGAATGATACACCCTGAAGCTATTTTGCTGTAGCATGCAGTACATGTTCATTTAAAATAAAAATGAAGTACTATAAATTATTTTTACCTCACCAAGCTCACTAAAATAAAATTCTTATAATTCAAATTTTCTAAAACTCAGTAATTACTTATTAGGACTGGTAAAGAATACAAACAAATCAGACTGCTTGGCAATTCAATTTATTGTGTCAAAATATTACTCAACATGAAGTTAAGATAATGCATCAAAGTATATTATTCTGTAGTCTTGCCAAGTGCTTAGAAAGCATTTGAGAACACTAATGAGGAAAGACAACATGGCCTTGTAAACAATGCAAAAAGTTACAAATAAAACCATGCAGTCTACATTGCCTATTGAGCACTTATTAGGACAGTCATCATCATTTCAAGCGCATTGTGTGTCTAAATAAAATTCATTTTCTCCACCTCTTTGGTTGTTCCTAATATCCATCCCTTATCTTCACTACTAATTGCCACCAAGTCCTGTCCCCACTCAACAACCATACAGGCAGCACATTCTTCTCAGTCTAATTAACCACAAGAATTTGGTAAAACTAAATGTAAGTCATACTTTCATCTTGCATCCTTCCCATGTAAAACATTTTTTAAGATTTTATTTATATTTAGAAAGAAAGGAAGGAAGGGAGAAAGAGAGGAAGAGTAATACATATGGTAGGGAAAAGCATTGATCGGTTGCCTCCTGTACCCACACAGATGGGCCACTGAACCCACACCCCAGGCCTGTGCCCTGACCGGAGTCAAACCGGCCATGTTTGGCTTTGTGGGATGATGTGCAACTAGCTGAGCCACAGCCGTCGGGGCTGTAAAACATTTTTAATGGTTCATTCTTTAACTCACATCAAGTCTTTCAGACTCTCTCTTCTTAAGTTCTCATAACTGGTCCTTACCTTGCATATCGAACAAGATTTATTCTTCCCACATGTCTGCTCTGTCCTTATTGTCCTGCTTTTCACCACCTCCTGCCTCTGGCCTCTCTCTCCAAATCCTTATTATCAGAGCTGTGGCCCATTTCTTGCTGTCAAGTGTTCTGTCCCTCAGAGTTCAAACTTTTCGGCTTACTCCCTCATTATACACTCTTTCAATGATTTTATACCTGTGAATTGCCTCTTTGATTACCTTATAAGTTCCTTGGAAGAAGTTAAGTGTTCCATGGGAAACCCAGTCAGTTCAGACGTCGTTCTACCCACTTCTTACCATTTCCTCTGCTAACAACCTACTCCAACATTCCGTAATCCTCCATCAGAACTGCCACAGTAGTCCAGGGACTGGTCTCCTGTTGATTCTTCCCATTCTACAGTGATCTACAGACAGTGATCTTTGGAAAATGCAAACCTAATCCTGACACTCCCCTGCTTAAAACCCTCAAATAGTCTCCCGTTGTTCTTAGCTCCACAATAGCTAGCATGTTTTTTCAGGATCTCTTGGAATGCCCTGACCACACACAGACATTCTCTGTCATGTGGTTATGTAACTGAAATAGGTATGTTAAATATATTAATAATTGCTGGAGCCACAATGTACTGGTAAATGTTTAACCACCAGATCTTCAGAAACAAACAAACAAACAAACAAACAAACAAACTTGATTTGTAGTGTTTGGCAATTTCTGTGCTGTAGCTCCTCCTACCATGATCAATTTCACACAATCAAGTGACTGAAGGCAGAGTTTGAAAACAATGCTACCAATGAGCTCTTGTAAGTCAGTACAAATGGATCCAGCAGAACAGTAACAGGAAAACTGTATAAACAGCACAAATCTGCTGAGGCACTAAATTATTTGACTTTACATAGATACCTTACATAGATTTGGTTTCTTCAATTTGGAAAAATCACAAAAGAAATAGGTAAAATACATGTCATCATTCAACTATGGATATATATATTACAGGGTTCTCCAGAGAACCAATACACACACACACACACACACACACACACTCACACATATTCAAGAACCAGAAAAGCCAACAATAAACCCAACCTGTGGGAAGGAGAAGGTGAGATGAGATGTCCTAATTCAACAATAAAGCAGAAAAAAGGGGCTAACTTCCTCTTTCCTCTGCCTTTTCTTCTGTTCAGACTCTCAGTGGATTGGAAGATGCCCACCCACACCAGGGAGGGCGAACTAGTTTACTGACTCTACCCATGCAAACGCCAATCTCATCTGGAAACACCGCAAGGAAACACTCAGATGCAATGTTGGATCTGGGCACTCTGTGGCCAATCAAGTTGACACATAAATTAACCATCACACATTCCTTCCTAGACTAATCAAATTAAAAGTTGCCATTTGCAGGAGGTAGTCTAAAGCAAATAAAAGGAAGTACTGCAGATCAGAATGGGCAAACTTTTTCTGTAAAGAATCAAACAAAAAATAGTTTAGGCTTTGCACACTCTAAAGTCTTTGTCATGACAATTCACATCTGTCATTGTAATATGTAAACAGCCATTAACAATGCATACAAAACTGGAAGGGGCTGTGTTTCAATAAAACTTTATTTATAAAAATCATATAGTGGGCCAGATCAGTTGGTGACCTCTGAACCAGATTATGTAGAGGTATAGAGATAAAGGGATAGTGATTATTCTCATCATAGTGAAAACAAACTTGCAGTTTGTTTTTATCTCACACCCTAGATGTGTGGTAAGTCAATCCTCCAAGCAGTGATGGATGCAAGAATTGATGGATGACTGAACTCTGGCCAGTGAAACAGGAGTAAACACACAGAGAGGCATCTGGAGAAAGTCTTCCCATTCATAATGGGCAGCTGCTGTTCTGGCCCTTTTGGACCATGTCTGGACTAGCTGGGACACCCCGAATCACTACAGCCACCAACAGTGAGGAAGGCAGAGCCAAGAGGTGGGAAAGAGCTGATGCAACCCAACCTGGAGCCTGCCCTGCCTCTAGATTTCCTGTGATGAAAGAAAAAGCTTCCTCTTGTGGGAACCTGTTGCATTTACAGGGTTTCTGTAAATGGAGTTGAAAGTATCCTGATTGATTCAATTATGTTTCCCCCAAAAAACCTCTTTTAGTTACAAATGTAATACTGAACCAATGGCTCCTCCCTCTAGAGAATTTCTTCTCTCTCTTAAAATTAATTTAAGAGAGAGAAGAGAGATTTAAGAGAAAACTTTTTCTCTCTCATAGTATTTTACTTTTCCCTGAAAAGAGATTGAGGCTGCCATACCAAATCAGAGAAGAAAAAACAGTATTGCCCAGTTATTCTTTAACATTTATTTTCCTACCACAAGGCAAATATCCTGAAAGTACCGGCCCAGCTTTGGGAGCTGATTCCTTTTAGGCTCTTCTTCTGACAACAGAGCAGACACTGTCGACCACTGAGCACCTGCTACTGCATCCATTCATCTTCCTGTGATCAAAACCTTGATTTTGCTCAGCCATCTGGGGACTGCATACTCTACAAAAGATTATCCCCAGCCCTAGGGAGGATCGTCTTAGTTAATTGAATCTAATCATGGAAATTTCACTTTCCTTGCCAGTAACCGATTTAGGGATGGGCCTGTCTATAACTCTGAACAGTGAGTGTGGGCGGGTTTTTCTCAGTTGTGAAGCACTTGAGGCTGCTGCAGCCATCCTGCCGGCCTGAGGTCAAAAGCCTCAGCTTTGCTTTAAGCAAAGCACAGCAGAAGAATGAAGAGAGCCTGTGTCCTAAGTGATGGCAATAAGCCACATAGTAGCCAGGTCTGGAATTACTCCACCTCAGGCTTTTTATGTTATTGGTGCCAACTGAATTTATCTCCTGTTAAATGCTGCTGAAACCACAGACACTGGAAGCCTCACTAATAAGTTGCTTTTGGCAGGTTGGATCTGGGTTCCCCCACTTGTCTAAGCAGGTTAAGAAGAAACAGCATGATGTCTCTATTGCATTGATCCAAGCGATAGTATACACACACACACACACACATATACACACATACACTATAGATTTGTAAATATTATTATGGAATCTCTAAAAGACTGCATGGCTACAGACATATTTAAAATATGCCCTGACAGGTGCAACACACAAACAGAAAGGTTTCTGGTTTGATTCCCAGTCAGGACACATGCCTGGATTGTGAGCAAGGTCCCCACTAGGGGGCGCATGAGAGGCAACCACACATTGATGTTTCTCTCACTCTTTCTCCCTCCCTTACCTCTCTAAAAATAAATGAATAAAATTATTTTAAAAATAGAACATTCTGTTTTTTAAAAGATTTTGTTTATTTTTAAAAAGAGGGGAAGGAAGGGGGAGAGTGAGGAAAATAAGCATTGACATGCAAGAGAAACATCTGTCAGTTGCTTCTCACATGCCACCTGGGGACCTGGCCTGCAACCCAGGAACGCTCCCTGACCGGGAATCAAACTGAAATCTTTAGCTTTGTGGAAGGACGCCCACTCCACCAAGCCACACAAGTCCATCAGGGCTATTTGTCTTACTTCTTTAGTGAGACATTCTGTAGAATAGAACAAATACAGTCATGTATTTTTTAAGTTAAATAGAATAATTCATTTTCGCCAATAACATACAAACATACAACCTCTCTTGCCCTAGACTTTTAGCTTTAAGGAAAACCTTTTCTTAGGAATAATCAGCCTAATAATGACAGGGAGGATTTAGCAATCACCTTCCTGATGAAGTCAATACGCACCTTTAATATCTGTGCTAATTTTTCCTTTGACATTTGTTGTCGATGCAACACAGGAGAGAAACATGAACTCACGTTGGCTTTTCGTTCTGTACTTTGTCCCCATCCCTTCAAGCATCATATTCTTTAGTCCACTGTGTTTATTTTATATAGGGAATAAAAGAAGGAAGTAATGAAGCTTTTTCTAATATTCCAGTAATGAATATACCGCTCACCTCAAAGTCTGTCAGCTGAGCATATTACAAAATTGCCTGATTTTGATGAAATTTATGAGCTAGTTACCTTTTTTCTTCTTTCCAAGTTCTTTGTCCACTCAAAGCCCTAAAGGAAAAAAATGCCCCATAATAATACATAGGAAACATTAATGTAACACAGTTTTAAAGAACTTTCATACATATTATCTTTTTTTTTTTGCCTCTACTGGTAACCCTGTGAAGAACAGAAAACAAATTTAAAACTTAAGCTTTAGGTAAGATGGCAACTCGTCATTTGACCCTCCCTTCTGACTCAGTTGCTACGCGAACACTGGCGGCCTCATGGGGATGACAGACGGATGGATATCAGCCATGGTCAGAAGTCGACATCAGAATGTGAAAAACTCTTACAGTGATAGAGGGTGTTGGGTCTAAGGCAGGGCAATGGCATCAGGGAACGTGCCATGAAGCAGGAGAGGACCAGGGGTCACAGAGGAAGAAACGATGGGAAGACAGCTCTCTCCCGGGGCCATTTCTTGCCCTGACAGCTTCAGGGAAGGAAATCAGCAATGCTAACCCAAGGCAGGGGTGTAAGATCAGGGCAGAACTCTGGCAGGAGAAACCCACTGCTCAGGCTGGCCAGAATAAATAATTTATTAAAGTTATTAAAGTCCAATATAAATGTCTTATTGCTATGTTGCACACCTAAAACTAATATAATATTGTGTCAACTCTAATTTTAAAAATTAATTAAAAATTGTAAACCCTAAATGAGTAATGACTCAACAACAACATTCTATCAATATCAATATGGAGATGTTGCGATGGAAAATAAGAAACTTTTGCTAAAATTATTAACTAATTGGGGATGGGTGGGTAAGATTTAGAAATTAGTAACATTTACACTTAGATGGAGAAATAGAAATAAACATAATTATTGGTCTTATAATTTAGAGCTAACCACCATACCAAAATATATATATATATATATATATATATATATAAAATTTATAGCTCTAACACAAGTTTTAAATATCCAACAAAAGTTAGAAGAATAAAAAAGGAATACAAAAAGCATGGTAAAAAGAAATCAATAATTAAATATACATAAATAAGTCTTGATATTACAGTAGTTACCATAAATATAAATGGGTTCAACTAATTAAAAGCAAAGATTCTTAGATTGATAGCAAGGCAAATTTCAGCAATATACAATTTACAAGAAACATACTAAAAATAATTACATAAAGAAAAACTAAAATGAGGGAATAAAAGAATGTAACAGGAAAATATGAAACAAAAAAATCTGAGGCATCAATGTAGGCAAACAAAAAAGAATGAAAAGGACAAATAGAGTTGTTATATTCTGGTTAAAGGGAAAAAGGTCAGGAAAGTATAATGAATGCGCATGACTTCTAAAAATTGAGGTGAGATTTGTACACATACTTACAAAGTTTTTGAGCATTCACAAAATGTAATCCAACAACATCCCACAAAGGAGGGATCAATTAATATGAAAAAATCAAAATCACAGGGAATATTTTTTTCATTCAGTGAAGTCAATTTGCAAGTCAATAGAAAAAGAACCACTTAAAAATTTTATATATCTCATAAGTAGAATATCTCTGATGTAAACCATAGTTTTCAGAGCAAATCATATGGCAGGTGATATAAAATTTAGGACTCACTGATAAAAATTATTATATGTCAAAATGTATGCTAAATATTTAAAATAACACTTAGAGGAAAATTACAGAATTGGCCTCATCTCCCTAAAAAAAATAATACTGAAAACAAATGAGTTAACTATTTAATAGAAGAAGATAAAAAAATCATACAACAAAGGACAGAAAATATATAAATTAGGGGAAAAACAATGAAATAGAGAATTAAAAGAAAAACAACTGGAATAATGAACAGAATCAAAATTTGGGGATTTTTTTAAAAAATGACTAACAAATAGTTATTAGTCATTTGTGACCAAAAAGAGAGCAAAATGCAATAGAGAAGATGCAAATAAACAAAACAAAATTATCTGAATTTCAAATGTTAAGTTAGCGATGCAAGTTACATCTAAAGACTTCACAGCAGGGTTACGTGCTTTGTGAGGAAAATAAGTTTCGCATGTTAGGGGCTCTCTCTATCTAACTGTTACCGTCTGAATATGTGCGTTCCTCCCAATTCCTGTGTGGAAATCCCAATTAACCTCCAGAGACCATGGCCTGTGGAGGTGGGCCCACTGGGGGGGACTTAAGTCATGAAGGCAGAGCCCTTATAAGGGATAAGTGCCTTTCAAAAGAGGCCCCGAAAGATTTCTTGTGCTTTCCACCCTGTAAAGACATAAAAGAAGGCACCAAATGAACCAGAAAGGGGCCCTCACAAGAAGCTGCCTGTGTTGGCTCCTTGATCTCGAGCTCTTCAACTTCTAGACCTGTGAGATATAAATTTATGTCGTTTATGAGCTACCCGTTCCGCGGTGTTTTGTCATAGCAATCTCTTCCATGATATTTTAAATTGTCTTTAAAAACGATGAAAAAAAGCAGTCTCTAAAATCAGAAACATCCCCAAGAGTAACAGAGTTTGTTTAGAAAAAATCCTTGAATTACTTAGGCAGCAGGCCTGTGAAGGACAAAAGCCTGCTCTTCGTGGGAGGAAGCTCTACCGCGGGCCCTGGTGCCTGGGGGCTGAGGGTGCGGACCACCTGCAATAGTCTGGCAGCACCACATGGCAAGAATCGCCTGCCCAAAATGCCGATAGGTCAAGGACAAACCGGCGACCTGCCAGAGAGTCCCTCTGTTCAGTGTCCAGTGCAGTCTTTTTTTTTTTATTATTGCATCACCGTTGTCATGAAGGAATATAACTTGACAGAAAATAAATAATACTAACAGAATCTCAAGGGAAACAAACATTTGTATAGGTACCTTCCTGAGAGAAGAGCATTCAACATTTACCAATCAGTAACATAAAATGGAAGTAAAACATCATTATTTGCACATTTGCTCTTGTGTCAGGTAATGCGCAAGAAGCAGCTATATGCATGACAGTTATTTTTAAATGGTAATAACTTTTAAGAAAATCCTGTTGTTGGTCATTATATCTCACCCCTTCCCCACTACTTTGCTGGCTTTTGTGATGCAGAACCAGGGCAAAGGGCAGAAAGGGGTAGACTTGGAAATGGGTTTGTAGTAAAAATGCTGCTTTACTCAGGAGAGAAGAAAGACTAGAAATTGGAGGAAAAGGGAGTATAAGGAAGAAAATAAGCTCAAGTTTCCAGAGCAAATTTGTTTTGGAAGTGGGAGCAATGCTTTGAGAGAGCTGTGAGATGGGAAAAATAGCCAAGGGCTGTAAGGGATGTTGCCATGGATTTGGAGTATTCTGTGAGAGAAGAACGGAAAGACTGGAACCATTTTCACTTACTCGTAGATGCTGGATCACATTCAATTGAATCTGACAGGGTGGCTGACAGTGGGTCACAGGGCCCTGATACAAATTTGGGTAACAGGGTTCACTAATTTAATGCTTATTAAAATTCTAAGTGGTTAATTATCACTCTTGTTTTGTAAGTGAGGAAATTAAGACTCAGAGATGCAGCGTTTTCCACAAATCACTGATTATAAATGGTGGAACAAATTTCTAACACAGGTCTAGCTGATGTCACATGCTTGTACATTGTACTAACTGCCTGTTTTATAAAAGATAATATTAAAGTACTTTGTTTTTGATCAGGAGGGTAAGTATCAGAGATGCAGGTTCTATTTGTAGCTGAGCTGGTAGAGCTTATGACAATACACCCCCTCCCACAATTACATTGAAATGTTCATTTTCACCTAATGCCTGGCTTCTGTTCTGACATATTCCATCCTAGAACTGGTCCAACACTCAAGCTGGGGAATCAAACAAACCTAAGGTCAAGACCTGGCTCTCGCTTGCTAGCTCAGTGACCTCAGTTTCTTCGTATGTAAATGGACAATCATCTGCATCCATACTCATCAGGTTTTTGTGGGGATTAAGTGACCATGCAAAGAAGAGTATCCAGAACAGAGAAAGTGTTGAGTACACGGTTCCTCCTGCCTATTCCACGCTGTTATTGTCTCCCTAGAATGAAGTGTTCCCAACCATAGGCTGTCCAAGTGCAAGCAGCTCCAAATCCAGGTCACTCCTCACTTCCTAGTCATCCTCATCCATTACCTGTACTCTTCCTGCAGGGGACTGGACGACAGAAAAAGTGGGCTGCAGGTAGATCTCACAGCAAGCTTGGAGGGAAGAGGAAATCTACAAAAAGGGGAAGCAAATGATGCAGAAACCAAATCAGCATCACAATTTTTCCTGGAGATACCAAGACACCTTCATCTCACTTCGCGGAGCAGTCAGGAGAAAATGAAATTTAATAAGTTGAATCAAATTCTTAAGGCAGAAAGGAAACTCACCTTTTAAGGTAGTCTGTGATGGATCTCTTTTTAAAATAAAGATTCTTGTACAATCTCTCAAATTTACATTTCATACACTTGAGGGTCTTGTACATCCATTTTTCTCAAAACAGGAGTACTCGTGCCCTGTTTTCTACTTATGAGGGGGAACTCCCAAAACAGAAATTTATTTATAAAAATCGTGTATTTATTCTTACATGTTTAAACTTCAGTCACCTTCAAAACACTCTCCATCTGATAAAATACACCTACCGAGACTTTTTTCCACTGCTCAAAACAGTTTTTGAACACATTGATTTTGATGCCTTTTAGTGCTTCTGCTGTTTTTCGTTTCGCCTCTTCCACGTGGGCAAAACGTTTCCCTTTGAAGACTTTTCTCACCTGGGGAAACAAAAGAAGTCACTAGGGGTGAGATCTGGTGAGTAGAGGGTGGGACACGGGTCCGCGGTGGTTTTGGTCAGAAGCTGCTGCGCATTCAGTGCGGTGTGGGCAGCTGTGCTTGTAAATCACCATCATGAAATGGGCAACTGTGTCGAGTCTTCAGAAAAAATTCACAGAAGCCCAGCGCAGCCTCTCACGAGAATGCCAGCTGGTGCACTGACACAGAGGGGTTTCCAGAACACTCACCTACCAGGGGAAGCCTGTACTACAAGGGGACTTCCCTCCAGAAGATAATTTTGTTTTGGGGGGGGATTCCCCCTCCTATGTAGCTTTTTAAATTAGTCATTTCCAGTTTTAACATAGGTATGACTTTGTAGGGGATTTTAAGTATAAATAGAAATTGAAAATGAAACAGCGTTCAGGCGATTAAAATGATGTAATATACTAGAGGTATTCTAATATATCAAACTTTTCCTTTGAAAAAGGTAGTTTATTGAGTGCTTAGAACCTTCCAGGGCGCGTCTCAGCACTTCACAGATGGTAAGCATTTTTTTACACTCCCTGAGAAGTGGGCGTTGTTGACTGACACACAGACAGGCTACAACGTAACTCCTGAGGTTATCCCTGCCTCCTACACCCTCACCTTTGTGGTGGAGCCCAGAAGACTTCAATGAGGACGCGTATTTGATACAGGCCCTGATCATCTTCTGTCTGAAGCCCTGGTTACTTATGGTCCAGATGTAAACCACTTCCCTTCACTTTTGCTTTATCCAAATAGAGAATTTGAAGTCATTTATTCTCTCCCACTTTGAACTTTGAGGAAAATAGGGGAGCCTCGCCACCTGGTGGCATCTCAAGGTAAGTGACAAAACGGTGGCCACCTGGTCTCAGAAGAGATAAAGTGTTGCCTTCCACTTCACTGTTCCACTTCGCCAAGGCACCTCTCAAACAGCTGAGCTGGCCTTTTCTCAAGGGTCATTGTCTTCAAAAATCCCTTACTCTGCCCAGATTTATCCTAATAAAATTGTGTTAGCAGTTTTCTTCTCTGTTCTTCAAGAGAGGTTTCATGGGACAAAGTCCAACGATGATG